GATCCAGGGCCTGGGCGCCCGGCCGCGGGGCGGGACGGGGGCCGGGGGGCGGGGCCTGCGGGGTGCTGACACCCGATCCGAGTTAGCCTTCTAGGGGCGCTGTCTGGGTTGTTCACTTTCCCATACCTACTTGGAAAAAATGGATAGGTTGCTTGTTTGACCAACTTGGCAGTTTTCTTAGTAACTATTTAAAAAAACAACTTTGTGGCTGTGTGCCTACGAAGAGACCTCCACTTGTTTTGACTAATGCTCCCGTTTGGCTTGGCTGACTGGCCAGAGCGCTCCCGGTAGATCTGCCTGTCTCTGCCCCGAGAACTAGGATCATAGGCTGATGCATGCCACCCCTGGCATTACTGAGGATTTGCGTCCAGGTCTGCATGTAGTGGCATCTTGTGCCACCAGTAGATTTGAGGCACCGCCTTAGGGTGTGGCTTCGGTGTGAGGATATGATCCCTTCTAAGAGGAGGGGCTGCCCTCTGGCTCTTGGGTTGTGGTGTGAGCATCCTGCATCTCTAGGGGCAGAAGCCCCAAGTGGCTATTTGCCTTCACTATGTGTTCCCCAAATATCTGTCATTCTTTATTTGGGCGTCCATGGATTTCCTTGACCTGCCTTCACTTGGCACCCAACGTGGGGCTCAAACCCACAAACCACCACCCCATAACAAGCACTTTTGCAGTGAGCCATTGCCCTATCCCCTAAAAAAAAGCCAGGGTGTGGTGGCACACGCCTTTAATCCCAGCACTTGGGAAGCAGAGGCAGGTGGTGTGTGTGTGTGTGTGTGTGTGTGTGTGTGTGTGTGTATATATGCATGCAGGTGAGTGCAGCTGTCTAGAGGCCGGTGTCTGATTCCCTGGAACTTGAGTTTCAGTAAGTATATTTATTCTTATGTACTTCATTTGTGTGTGAGCTCTCCTTCCACAATGTGGCTGAACTGTCTACCACACCTTTCTTTGGCTATTTTGGAGGATAGGGTTAGGGCCCACTATGTTGGCTGGCTTCAGGACAGAACACGTGCTGGCCAACACCACCCTGCAGCCCATGCACCCCAACTCCACTAGCACAGAAGGTGTGAGCTGGCACTGGGCTTTACTTCAGCCGGGGCATGACTCTGATAAACAAGATCATGCTGATGAACACAAAGCACACGACGATGAGCATGGCCCAGAGCAGCCAGTCCACAGACTTCCGCGTGTGCTGCTCCAGCCGCTCAGATTCCATCTTCAGCTTCTCCAGGTTCTGGTCAGCCATCTTGAGAGAGTGTGACAGGGTCTATGGGAGAAGCAGAGACTGTGTCAACAGGACTGAGACCAAGCATGACCTCTCTAGAGTGGCATTCTGTGCCCTCTGCTGGGCGTGCCTCAGCCACCCCGTCCTTGGGCTTCACCAAACTCCTGCTACGCCTGCAAAACACCAGTCATAATGCCCTCTTCTGAAAAGCTTCATCAGTGCCCTGAGGCAGAGGCTGCAGTGTCCCCACACCTGGTTGTCCTTCTTGATGACACTCTGGGCGGCCAGTGTGTTGGTCTTGAGGCTTCTTGCCAGGCCTAGCATCTCCTCCGCCAGCTTTTCCTGGAGGCCCTGGTGCCTCTGGAGGACAAGGTCGAGCTCGGACACCGAATGCTTCTCATCCACAGGTCTGGACCCATTTGCTCTGCAGACCCCACATGTAGGAGTACCCAGGAGTGACAGGTGACATATAGACACTCCCAGGGCACCTTCCCAAGGATCCCAGGGCCCATGAAATCACTTGAAGTTCTGCTCGGGACTCAGTTTCCCTTGCTTTTTTATACTCCGGATACAGCAACCCCTGAAATGTCTTCCACTGGGCAGGGGAGCCCTTGTTGTAGCACCTGGGGGGGGGGGACAGCTGCATCCAGCCCCTGCCTTCCCCACCTCAGTGGCCAACATACTCACATGCGCTGCCTCATGTCCATCTCACGCTCTGGAAGCACAAGAGGCAAGGACAAAGTTTGGTTTTCTGTTCCCAAGTCTGCTAGCAGTGTGCTTCTGCTCTGCCTGTGAGCTACTGTGCCCCGGACTCAGCACACTTCAAAGCCCTTCGCAGGGTGTCTCTGAAGAACATATTTCCCGTCCCCAAGCTCCCAGGTCCCTCTCAGTGGCCTAGTGTTGTGCTTGTTGCTGTATCTCCTGGGACACCTCTGTCTCAACCTCCCTTCAAGCATGACTCAGTTGACCCTGGGTGATCTTTTCCAGGGCTAGGAAAGACCAAGGGAGCCAGGCAGGCATGAGGACTGTGGGGTAGCAGGGATAGTGAAGTCCCACCTGGCATGACTCACCTCCAGATGAGTCCTGTGGAGAGAAGGGAGAGGCATGAGGCTATGCACTTTGATGTCCCCTCCCTCCCTCTCTCTCTTCCTCTCTCTGTCTCTCTGCTTTGGGATGACCCATGTAAAGTGCTCTGAAGGACATCATATTCTTTTATAAACTCACCCAAATTCTGCTGGGGAGCCAACTCTGGAGCTTAACCAGACATGGTCCATTCCTTTTTTTTTTCCCCCTTTGGTTTTTTGAGACACGGTTCCTGTCCTGGAACTCACTCTAGACAAGGCTGGTCTCGAACTCACATAGATAAGCGTGCCTCTGCCTCCACCACTGGGGTCTATTCTTTCCATGAACCAAATTCCTATTCCTTTAGCAATGTCTTGAGCACAATACCTTCTCTTGGGAAGCCTTGCTGTGGCCTTCTAGGGTTTCTGGTACTGTGTTCAATCTCTGTCCCTGTACAGACTACTCTGTTGGGGTCCCAAGGATGGTCCCAGGGGCAAGAGAGGAGATCCTACCATGCCCAGCAGCTCACTCCGCATCTCACTGGTGTAACGTGCCCGGGATTGCAAATGGACGGTCTTGGTGGCGGGCACCCGCTCCCTAGCTGTGGTGGGCACGCGACCAGGGGCCAGGAACTGGTTAGCTAGAGCCTTCTCAGAGGAGGAGGTCTGAGGAAACATGGGAAGGAGAAGATAAATCACTGGAGGGCTGTGTCCAGGTCCTGTAGCCACGGGGGCCTGAATGAGGGCTGAGGGGTAGGAGGACAGGCTCACCAATTTCTCAGCCTGCAGCATGCCCTTCAGAAAGTCCACCTTCCGCGAGTACTCGCTGATGACTTCGGAGGCAGGTTTGCTGAAAGGCAGCAAGGGGAGGTCAGCCTGCCACTGCGGACGCGTGGGGGGGGGGGCGCGTCTCAGGACCCCACACTCACCTCGCTTGGACCTTCAGGGCCTGCAGCATGTCTTCCAGGGCACCCACATACTGGGAGGGAAGACGGGGTGTCAGCCAGGCCGGGCCCCAAGGTTTCTTTGCAACAATCAGAAAAGAAGGGGGGGCGGGGCGGGGGCAGAAC